TTATATACTAAACAAAGGAAACTTTGGTGGCCTTGTGGGTAAGGAGTTGAGCTATCAACCCAAAGACAAGAGGATCAAATTCCCTAGCTGCTCCAAAGGAGAACGATGATTTATGGTCTCAGAAAATCTGCAGGAGGGTCAGCTCTGAGTTGGTTCTGATTCTGTGACAATGAGTGAATGAATGATATTAAACAAATAAAGAAATCTACAAAAACCAAAAAGGATAGTTTAATAAAGTCATCACCTATGTCAAGAGAGAGAATCTTGCCAACCAAAGCACACTCACTGCCTTTGAGATTCTGAGTCCTAGATTCTTGTCCACCACCTTAAAGGTCCCTTCTTGAGCCCCAGCTCAGTTATAATCTGTCCACTTTGGATAGTAGCCCTTCCTCAGGATAAATGCTCTCTTTATTATGATAATAGCTACCTTGTATTTGCGTATCTTGAAATACCAAGATTTAGTTTTGTCTTAAAAAATGTCAACATAAATTTAGAATTTTATTATCAAAGAAAATAGCTACTATACACATATATTCATGATAAACTAGAAATATTTATATTAAATTAATTGCATATTTAAACTCACCATTTCATTCTCTGTTACCTTTCATTCTGTCCTCCCTCGTAAAATATGAAAATATTTGTGGCAGAAACGAAATCATTTGTCCTGTACAGTTCCTCAGCAGTTGGATTTTGCTGCTTATATTCCCCTGATGTGCCTTAACATTGACACAGGGACTTTGGGCACCATGAGATAGCCCAGATGCAGCTTTTACTGTCCAAGTCAGCTCTGGAATCAGCTGTTTCTCAAGCCATTGTGCTTCATTGTTTAGGTAGCATAATACGCTGTGTGTTTGACCAAAAGATCAAATAGTTGAAATCCACTAACCATGCTGCAAGGATAAAGCTCGTCACTTTCTGGACAGATTTACAGACTCATAAACCTCTGAGAGGGTTACCAGTAATTGGAACTGACTTGATGATTGTGGGTGTGGGTTCTGATTTTCTATTGGGAGTAGGCACAATCCCCTCAATAACTAAGCATTTGCAAATGATTTTCCCCCTTTAGCATTACTTTTACATGAAAAGAATGATTTTCGTTTGTTTGTTTTACTGCTTTACCCCTGATGATTTAAAAATACCGTCTCTGGGACACTGCTGCCAGAAATAACTCAAGTAGGAGACATTGATGAATGTAACCAAGCCAAAGATGGGTGACTTTTAATCTGATGCTCTCTGGCCTGTCTTTCATTGTTTTTGTTCAAACATTCCTTTAGGTTGTGTAGCCCTGGTGTGTCCACTTGCTGTACAGCGGTAACTTGTGGTTGCTGTGAGGCTGAACACTGTGATGCTGATATGTCAAATGTGTTGATGGTTGGTTATCCATGGTGGACAGTGTTGGGTGAAACTTCCCGATTAAAACAAGCTTGGAAGCAGGAGCTACATCCACTTCCATAATAGCTTGCCTCCAGAAACCCTATGAACCCGGAGAGAGGATGAGAGAAACACAAATGTTGAGGACTCTCCTTCATAGGGTCACTATGAGTCGCCTGCGATTTGACAGCACTTAACAACGTACATCAAAACGTTTTCCAACAGGCAGAAATGAAAACTTATTGACTGGGAAAAAATATTTGGCAATGCCATCCAGAAAAGGGACTCATAACAAAAGTCTACTGAATCTTACAGGCCTCCATAAGAAAAAGATTGAGAACCCAATTACAAAATGGGCATAAGACATTGAAAGATTTTTTACAGAGGAAGACATTTGGATAGTCAATAGACACATGAAGAGATTTTAAAAAATCACTGTCTAATCCATGGTAATAATGCCTAATATATGTCTAATCACTTCTTATAGAAAAAATAATTTTCTGTTCTTACAGAGTTCATAATTGGGCAATCAAAATTATTTATGCAATATGTAGTAAAACAATGTGATAAGGAAAAGACTAACATTTTTGGTATACATTCTTTGTACAAAGTATTAGTAATTTTATTAGTCATCTATTGTCACAAAATTCATGCATAACAAGCAACTATGGAACCCAGTGGTATCCAGCACTGAGGGAGTTCTGGTGGCACGGTCCACACTGAGCTGCATTGATCACCCATGGGTCTCACCTCTTTGACCATTCGAATCACTCTTGGTTAGCAGGAGAAAGAAAGATGAATGATCTTCTCCTGTGCAATTGGCAGTTTCAGAAATCCAACGGAACGTCAGCTATGCTTAGTTCAGACTCAGTGACGATAGAAATGAGATACACAGAGTAAGCGTTTATTGTTTATATAACTGACTGGTCACTTGTTTTTTAAATTGTCGTTTGAAAGTTTACAGAGCAAATTCGTTTCCCACTTAATTGTTTATACACATTTTGCTTTATGACGTTAAATACAGCACCAACACTTTGACTGCACTCTTCCCACTTCTTCCTTGTGATTTTTGTTTCCAGTAATCCAACTATCCTATGCCTCCTGCCTTGTGAGCTTTATTCTTGGGCAAATGCTTCCCTTTTGATTTTGTATTATTGATTGTTCTAAGGAGTTACTACTTCCCTTTTGTTTTTATCCACCTTGTTAAACTGTTTAGTTTTTTGCATGAAAGTCGAGACACAAAAATGAGGTTAGTTCCAGGCTGTAGGGGTAGTGGGTGGTCAACCTAGTGACTCTTCTGACTTTGGCTGGGTTTGATCATATATCTGAGGATTGTCCAGATATCAGCTAACCTTAGCATTGGCTGGATAGCGGGAGAAAGTTAAGCCTGTATCTCAAACCCGTTGCCATCAAGTCTGACTCATAAGGACCCTGTGTCACGCTTGAGGCTATACATTTTTAAGAAAGGAGCCTTCCCATCTCACAATCCTTGTCCTCCCTATTTTTCCTAGCTTTAGTCCTGGTCCCAATGCAAGTGATACTTATTTTATATTTTTGTTGTTTTAGATCCCCACTCCTGGTACTAATTTCTGTATCACTTCTCTATGGCCACAACACTGCTACTTAATAAACCGCAAATTCTCAGTAGCATACAATAATGAGCATTTATTTATCACATGTTTAGGTCATTTGCTGGTGACCGATATTGGCTAGACTCGGTCATAGGTATGGATATTGGCTGTGCTATGTGGGATGACTCAGCTCTGCTCTTGTTGAGCATCTTTCATCTGTAGGTTAGCCAGAGAATATTCACCTGGTACAAGACCCCAGTGGGAGTACTTTGGTCTATACCTGCTCATTTCCCCTTTCATAACCTAAGTCATGTGGCTGAACTCAGAATCTGAGTCAAAGCTGACTACAATGTCAAGTGATTAGATGTATGGTTACATAGGGGGGTGAACTATTTGGGCCATCTTTGTGTATTTTTCATGGAGATTATTGTGGGAATATTATAAATAATATAATATCTTTCATATTTGTAATTTTATATGCATAAAATATATATCATATTGACCAGAGTCTTCCTCTGCTCACTTGCAAAGTGGTCGAGCCAGTGCTATGTAATGTTTTCCTGGAGAACATTTTTTTGTAAAAGTTTTAAAGTTGTACTGTTATTAAATTGTTATCTTGCAGGTCAAAACCCGTGTTAGACTCAACTTTGTGATGTGAGGGCTGGCATTATGTAAATGATATTTATTCTTTGTTAACAGACTTCCTGTTCTATTTTTCTAATACAGGATACTAGATTGGCGAAAAAAGGGAGGGAAGAATAGATTTGATCCATCCTGTTTGCCTGTTCTTCCTGCCAATATCTTTGAGGGCAAGGAGCATACCATGCTCACCATGGATTTTCCTGATTAAAGTCATAATTACGTCTTATTACTGAGTTGAAAGATTTTTTAAGTCTTCCTCCTCCTTGACCCATTAGAGGGCTGACCACTGCTGACCACTCCAGCCTTCTTCAAGTAGTCTCTGTTCCTTTAGCTTTGGTGAGGCTGTCCTCTGTTTTCTTTCTTCCTTTCTGATCCCTACATACAAATGAAATCTTCTGATTTCTCTTAAATCTACAACTCTTTATCCAGACTGTGACTAGCCAGCTCCAGGCTACATTGTCTCTCACATGAAGTTTCTTATGAGTATCCTACCTAGTCTTCTGGCTTCTAGTCTTCCTTTGGGAGGGATCCAACTCACAGGTGGAATCCACCAGCTCTTCCTTGGGAGGAAGATAGGCAATCTCCTCTTGTGTGATTTATAGCCTCTGAAAGCTCACTGGAAGGCCAGTTAAGAGTCATAGAATCCACACCTTAATGGCTATAGGGTGATCATTCCAAAACATCAGTATGATTTTGCCACTTCGTCAAACTCCTTGTGACAAACAAGGATTTCCGTGATCTGGTCTCTGCTTACCCACTTGGCCTCCTCCCTGTCATATTCCTGCTCTGCGCTAGAGCCATGTGGGCTTTCAGTGAATATCCATACCCACTATATTTATCCAGGCTTTGGCTTAGGCTTCTGTTTTTGGCCCAGAATGTTTCTTCTTCTCTCTCCTTGCTCCCATGTGCATACTTTCTAATTTTATCATTCAGACCCAGTCATCTTCTCTGTGAAACATTCTTAGCTTTAGTGATTGTTCCCTCCTCTACATTCCCACAGAATTTTGTACATGCATTTGTCATTATTGGACATTCTGTGTCCTTACAGAGTGATCAAAAAATCTTTCAGGGACAGGATTATTATTTTTCTTTTTTTAGGATTATTATTTTTAAAATCCTTGGGTTAGCCAGAGGAATATCTAAAAAGTGGTAATTAAATGATTGAATAAATAAATGAAAACGCACTTGCAGAAGGGAGGGAAGCAAATTTAGAAGGCAGAGAGAGATGCTTGCTTTGCAGCTGGTTTGTGTGTGACTATTTTTTTGGGAGTGGCTATTTTTATATGGCTATGCAACTCTCAAAGGTGAATGCAGACAGCCAAGGCTAAACTATTGTGGAGATGACTCTCAAAATTACCTCTTCACCACACTTGATACTGAAAGTGACTATTAGAATCCCAAGTCCCAGAAAAGTCAAGCAGCGGACTCCTTATGTGATGCCAGAGTCTGGGGCTTTTCAGTGGAGGGCTGTAGTGGTGCCTTTTGAAAGAGAGTTCCCAGGTGCTGCCGGATTTCCTTGGTTCTGGCCCCATAGATGATGGGGTTGACCAGACATGGAAGCAGCAGATAGAAGGCACTGAGCAGGTTGTGCACATCCTGGGAGGCGGTGCGGGCCAGCCTGTAGACAATAGATGAGGACATGGTGGAGGAGTAGACAGTGAAGATGACCAGCAGGTGGGAGCCACAGGTGTTCAGGGCCTTGGAGCGGGCCCCACCTGATGAAATCCGGAAGGCAGCGTGGATGATGCGGGAGTAGGAGGCCCCGAGGAGGAGCATGTCAAGGACTCTGTTGAAGACACGGACAGTGAGCCCCACAGTCTTGTTCAGGGAGATGTCCCCACAGGAGAGCTTCATCAGGGCCATGTGCTCACAGGCAAAGTGCTGGATCACATTTGAGCGGCAGAAGCGCACACGGGAGGCCAGTCCCACCACTGGGGCCACGATGCAGGTGCTCCTGGCAGCTGCCGCCCCCACCAGGCCAGCCAGCAGCTGGGCAGTTATGATTTCTGGGTAGCGGAGCGGGTAGCAGATGGCCACGTAGCGGTCCAGGGCCATGACTAGGAGGATGTTGCAATCAAAGACAATGAGGAAGTAGATGCAGAACATCTGGACCAGGCAGCGAGCCAGGGAGATGTGGTTGAAGTGAGTAGAAAAGCTGAACAGCATGGCGGGCAGCACGGTGGTGGCGGCACAGATGTTGATGGCCAGGAGCAGGGCGATGAGGGCGTACATGGGCTGGTGCAGGCTCCTCTGGGCAGCCACCGTGTGGATGACCAGGGCGTTGGCAGAGACAATCACCAGGTAGAGGCTGAGAAAGGGCAGCACCAGGAGGGCTCGGGACTCCTGCAGCCCTGGGAAGCCCACCAGGAGGAAGCTGGTGTAGGACACGTTGGAACTTCCATTGCTCCACCCTGACATTGTCCCTGGGGAGCAGGGCAGCTCCTGGGAGCGGGAAGCTGGATGGCTCTGGGGTGACGAGAGCAGGAACCCTGGTGGCTGAGCCTGCCCCAGCCTCACCAGGTGGCACTGGGGGCTTTGTCCTTCATGAAATTCCAATATGTCTGTAGAGAAAACAAAAAGCTGCTGTCACCATTTTATGTTTCAAGGAATATCAGCATTTCCTCGACTCAATTAGATTTTCCTTTCTTTTCCTAGAAAAAACATTAGTTTATTTTCTCACTTGTAAACCTTTATTGGTGACCCATTTGTTCTAGGCCTTATGCAAGGGGCTTGGCATACACCATGGATAAGTTATTGTCTCTGCTTTGAGTGAGTTCACATTCTATTGAGCATGCTTGGCAAGTAAGGTAAAAGTTGGAGAAGAGCAAGATCTTCTTCTCATCTGGTTCTCGCTAGAAAGCCAAGGGTGCCTTTTCTAATGCCAGGTTGAGGATAGTGGCCTGCTGCGCAGTTTGTGGAATTTGCAAAGGACATTGTTGAAAACTGCTGCTAGGACCCTTCACCCAAAATCTAACTGGCTGGAATACAAGATCTGAGGTTGAATAATGTGAGAGAGAAAACGTCACTGGAGAGAACTGACGTCTCCCTTCCCCATCTGATGTGGAGGGTAGAAAGGGAGCATTCTCCCACTTGAGCTGGTGAGCCCAGTTGCTGGGAAGTTGATTCAGACAGCATTTTTGGTGACTATGTAGACAGCAAAATATCCCACAGGGTTTTCAGTGGTTGAATTTTTCTTTTTAAAGAAATAGATTGCTGGTCCTTTCCTCTGAGGTATCTGTGAGTACACTTGAACCTTCAATCTTTCGTTGTTTAATTTTAATTGTGATTTGCGTGAAACTTTGCAGGATAAATTGGTTTTCCACTCTATCATTCATATGTATTTTATTTTAGACATTGATTATAATACCCACATTGTATGGATACTCTTCTCAGTCACAGACTTCTCTGTGTCACTGCCAACCTTGACTTGCTGTTCTTATGTGCTGTTGAGTTGCCTGTGACTCATAGCAACCCTTTGTATAACACCCCTAAACCCTGCTCTATCCTGTGCCAATCTTAGTGTCTCTAATACACCTACCCCCATTACCAAGTCACTGAATCAAGCCATCTATCAAGGCTCTTCCTCTCCTGTGCTGTCCTTCCACCTTTCCAAGTCCCGCCTTGCAACATGTCCAAAGTATATCACATGAAGCTTCAAAATCCTTGCCTCCAAGTATCAGCCTGGCTTCACCCTCTCCAGGACGAACTTGTTTGTTCTCCTAGCCATCTATAGTATATTCAATACTCCTGTCTACCACCATAGCTCAAAGGCCTTTGACTAGCAATCATTTATAACTATCCAGGGACTGAGACTAGTGAGAGGAGCTTTAAAAAGACATAGCAGGAGATCTAGACTAGATATAACCTTTGTGTTTTGACAAAATAACTGTGACTCTATTTGAGTCACACTTGGGATGACTAAAGGTTTAAGACCGAGACTAGAACCACCACTAACAGGGTCAGCAAACAGGAGGCCATGATTAGGCACAAATACATGCCCTCCTGCTGGCCATGTGAATGCCACAAAAAAGAACCAGGTTGGAGACATCTTGAAGGGCTCCAGCCTGAGAAAATGATCTGGCAGAGGGTGTGTGTTTAATGATAGACTTCTATAATCAAAGTCTGACTGAGTGCTTCAACTGAATGGACATTGGTAGTAAAGAAATGTACCCAAGGGACTCTATCAGGCTCAGAAGAATGAGGGCCAAGACCTAGACTCAGCTAGAAGACTAGCTAGAACCTTTCTGTTCCTGACTGTTCTCTTCTCCTTTGTTCTGTCCCCAAGGATGAAGATGGGAAGAGAACTCTAAAGAATTTCAGAAGAAATCAACCCAACTGGCACTTTCTACCTAAGGTGTATATAAAGAAGCTATCAATAGTAAGAGAGAACTCTTCATCTCAGTTGCCAAAATACATTTCCTTTTTAAATGAAAAATAATTAAGTATCTGTTGTCTTTTATTTAAAACTACCAAAAATTTACAGACATCATTCTGGAGTTTGTAATGTAAAAAACTAGCATAAAAAACAGATAGGAGTGGAGAGTGAACAGAAGAAATAACTAACTTTTCTTTGGTTTGCCCCTCTGAAGTGTGTTTTTTTCAGACTTTAGTGAAAATGGAGCAACCGCTATAGAATAGTTTTGATAAAAAAAGATATTGGAAAACAGTAGATGAAGAGATAATGTTTCCTGGAAGAGTGTGAATCAAGGAATATTTTATTAGGAAGAGTCAGTAGCATAAAAAAATTATAGAATCAAAACTATGTTATCATCTACCACTACTAGGATCACTTATTCTAAGAATCTTGGAATATCAGGGTGATACTGTCTTTTAGGAACAGAGAATACAAGAGTCCAGCAAGAGTTTGGTTTGCGCTAACGTATCCTGAGGAGTGGATGCCCAGCGCCAACTTCCCTCCTGCTAACTTCCGAAGGGTAAGATATATTGTGGAGTCTGCCTGGCTGTGGGCACCCTGTTGTGAAGCCCCCTTTATCATAGGCAGCCTGTCTAAGTGGAGCTGAGAGCTGTTTGAACAGAGAGCTGGCTCACTCTCAGGAAGCTCTCTTTGTTAAGCATCATTATTCTCTTTGCATTTTCTTTCTATTACATCTGGTGGTGCTTCTTCAAAACATATTTTTATAAAACTTAGTCTTTTAAAGCCAAATGTTTGTGTTGGGAAAGGCTGAGTCTATTAGGATGAGCTGTTGGTATGGCGTTGTATCTCCACACCTCACAGAAAGCAGTGTAGGATCTTGTCTGGTACTGAGGAGGTGAAGAGGAGTTGGATTGGTTTAAAAATCAAAGTGAAAGTAAAAATACATGTGGTTTCTGAGGAGCATGGATGGTGGAGTCCGAGAGGCTTCATTCTCCATGTGTGATTCTGGGTAAGGACTTACTCTCGGATTCTCACCTGCAAAATGAGAAAATCAAATTGGCCTCCAAACCTACCCAAAGGAGGTACTTTGGAGGAAAAGCCTGGCAATTGCTTTCAGAAAGATCACAGTCATTGAAATCCAATGAGTACAATTCTTCTCTGAAACACATGAGGTCACCAGGGGCTAGAATAGACTTGACAGTGACTGGGGTAAGAGGAACCCCATTATTTCTGAGAGGACTAGGTTTTCATGGATCTCTAAAGAAGAAGGAAAGAATAGTGGGACTCAGTCTGCCACAGCACCTCTGGGATAGATTCAGGAGATGGTTCAGGGGACATTTTCAATTTTGAAGACCTTAAAATCCATGATTAGAGGTTGGGAGGATGGATACTCAAGCCTTTCCTTTCTCTCTGGGCTGGAGGACGTGAAATACCTGGCCAGAGGAATGGTGTTAACTGGGATGGCTCTTGAAAAATCCACTCAGTCCTTACTCCCTGGGCTAATCCCGAATCTTGCTGTCTCCAAGTTATGAGCCCACACCAGCTCCCTGCTCTGCCAAACACAAGCTCTCTTCTTACTTACCAAGACTTACACAGACAGAAGTAGGAACTGGCGGGGACTGGCCGGGCCAGGCCTGTGTTCCATGAATGGAGTTAAATTCACTCCGTTCCTCCCTGTGGGAGTTGCCATGCATGGGAAATTCCTCCTCCCAGTCTCTGACTTAGCCAATTAGCTGGATCCCAGTGGTGGCCAGCATGACAGTGTGTCCCAGCAGAGCCCTGTGGGATGGGAGGACCAGCATGGACAGAGAGCAGCCCTTTGATATCAACACATTAGAGAAAGAGTGAGGGGCCTTGGTTAGGGGCATAGGAAATAGTTCTCTGGGATCCTTTTATTTCCTGCATCCCTGATACTTTCCAAGTGACCTCATCTATCTAATTTCTTTGCCTACCTATTGACTTTCATGATTTATACATCTGTATATCTGAGTCTTTCCTCTGCACCCAGACCCATTGACTCCTTGTACATCTTTTAGCTGATGTCCTATAGGACTCTCAAATGTATCAAGTTCTGTGCTGGAGCTATGTTTTCATTCCACAGAATTGCCATGCTCTATGTTTCTTCTGTTGAAATGATATTATTGTCCTTAAGTTGCCCAAACAACCATTAGTGAATGAGTATATGTGTGTAGGGAGGAGGGGAGAGAGGGAGTGAGGGAGGTGGGAGGTAGAGCAAAAAAGAGAGAGAATGTGTGAGAAAATGAGAGTCAAGACTGGAAAAGGCATTCAGGGTTGCTCGTTCTTCACATGTAACCTATTAACAAGCTCCAACAAGCCTTTTATTTCTGCTACAAGTACCTCATTTCTATTCCTTCTGTCCTTAAATTTTCTGTTCCAAAGCATATTATTTTAGCCTGTTTACTGATACTATCTTCTCAGTAGTGTTCTATGTTTTATTTATTGTTTTTAATTTTATTAATTTTAATGAAAATTTACAGAGATTTTGGATTTCCATTCAGTCATTGTTGCACTATTTTCTTTACCCCACCGCAGTTTGTTCCTCTCTTTTTTTTCCCTTGAAAGTTTGTTTTAATTGTCCCATTGCCACAGTGCTTGTCAAAACCAGTTCTGATTAATCATTCTGGTTTTTTTTAATTTTTTAAACTTTTTTTTAAGGACAACTTTTTATTGCTACCAGAGGTTTTCATCATCATTCAGTACATGGTTGTGATTGCAATACCTTCTTTAGCCTGCACAAGGAGCTCAGGACCCAGAGGTCATTAAGAGAATATAGGTAGACTGGGGAGGTGGGGAAGTAATTTTTATCAAGAATGTTCTAATAACAGAAAGCTTGGGCAATGAATTACTACACGTTACAGACTCAGATCATAAACTGCCCCAACATCTAAACAGTCATTCTTATTGATTATTAAATCAGTGAAAAATCTTCATAGTTAGAAAATCTCATTTTAGTTGTTTACATACATATTTCTTTGATGAGCACCTGAATATATTAACTTTATCACAAATTATTTTATACAAA